TTCAGTTTTCAAATTGTTGCCACCAAATATTATCGCCTTGTATTACATTTAAAGAAATTAAAATAACGAAGAATCTGCATGAATGTATGTATGTTTCTCGTACTGTGATAAAACGGCGGTTCCTAGAGCCCTCCAATTTTTGAATAACGTACTTTTCCACCCGAATATGGGTATCTGAACCCAAATTTGGAATTTTGTTTATTATCTATTTCCTATTTTGTAAAACTTTAACGAATTTTTGATTAACAAACTCGATGAGCAATGGCAACACTGTACGAAGAAAAAAAAAATATATCTCCAGTGCGCGACTGTGTATCACAATTTCTAAAGATATGTTGTTCTTTTTAAAGTATTTTGCGATATTCCTGTTGACTTGAATTTTATGGTTTCAGTGCGAAGAACATGATTTTTAATAAATAAAGGTAACACACAAAACGTTTCAGATTTTGGGGGGGGGTGTTTTATTAGGTTTATCAAATTTACGAATTTTTGAGCAGATTTTTTTCTGATTTTATAGTAAAAAAGCAGTTAATCTGAAATTTATATAAGAAATAAGCTTTCTGGAATTAAATGCAAAAATTAACGATGAATAGTTACTTAAATTTGTCTCCGAAGTTTTTCTTGTTACTAGTTTGAAACTCGATTTTATTTCTAAAACCGTGTTTCAGAGATTAAAACTGAAAATATAAAACCTCCCCTTCTGTTTCTAGAGAAGATGGAATTTTTTATTACTTTAGCCTTCGTTTCATAAATGTTAATTCCATTTTTAAATTTCAGTAAGTTTGCAAACATGTGGAAAAAAATAACAGAAAATAGCATCAGTTTGCTATTTAGTTTGCTATTTCTACGCACTTGCGTAATTCTGTCTTGTAGCAAATAGCTATTTTGTTTAATTCCTTAATGTCAAAAATCTTTCTAAATGTTTTTTTCAAATTTCTAAATATCAAAATCTATATCAAAAACTACCCGTTTAGAAAATGAATTCAGATGAAATTTGTGCTTTGTTACTATTAGAAGATAAATAGGTATAGGTCATTTACAAGTTTTAAAATTTAATAAATTTTACTGGGTTTTACTCGCGTTTACTGGAAATGAAATTTGCAAAATTGGAAGAAAAAAAAAATCAATTATTGAAATTATATCATATACGGGGTGTCCCATATGTATTGGTAAAAACTTTATGGGCAGGTAGAGCACATAAAAAGGTTCGAGAACCGCATAGAAACCTACGACCGCAAACGTCGTCGTAAGCCGCTGGGTGGTGGTGCTGTTCACAATGTTTGGGTTGGTTTGGTCGGCGACTGCTTTAGTCGGGCTTTACCTATTTGCCATCATCTATGACGTCAGCAAATGACCTCATCTTTTTGGAACCATGGACCTTATAAGAGATAGACTAACCCAGTGGGCTGGACCCGCATCACCGACATGTCAGCAAGAAAGAGTAGGGACGAACATGTTTACTTTAACACTGAAACCTATGGCGTTTGTATCACATAACTCTTTTTAATTATTAAATGTGATACGTTGTATAGCGATGAGATTATGAAAGCCACAGTTTTATACAAATAGGATTTAATATATCTCATTAAAGCCCTTTTTTCTGCATTTCGCGCATTTTTTTCGCGCGTAATTCTTGTACAAACATCTTTACTTTGGTAAAACGATAAAAACTCTAAGCACAGAATTTATGAACTTAATTTTGCGTACAAATAATGTAAAATTAAATAAGATTGATAGTACGTGATGCTTTGAAATAAATAAGGTAAAATTAAACAAGATATCTGATCATTTTTTTAAAATTTAATGACCATTTTCAGGCAGTGATTTTCAAAACTATAATAACATTACAAAACAATCATTTATTTGATTATATCATCATTAACTTATTAACATTAAAGTGGAATAATTATTTTAGTAATTTATAAAATTCGAAGCATAAAATTTTCTGAGAGTAATGAAGGAAAAAAAAAAGATAAAATCAAATCTAGAAGCACTCAGATTTTATATTACGCCCAAAAGGAACCTTTTTTTAACGTTTTGTGTGTTCTCTATATTTATCGAATATCATGTTCTTCGCCCGTAAACTACATGCATTGAAAACATCATATCTTTAGAATTTCCGCACTGGAGATAAAACTGTTATTTTCCGTACAGTGCTCGCTCTGAACTCGTTGAGTTTGTTAATAAAAAATTCGTTAAAGTTTAACAAAATACGAAATAGATTAAAACAAATTCGAAATTTGGCAGTCCAGATGCCCATGTTCGGGTGGAGGATTACATTATTCAAAATTTGATGGCTCTAAATACTGTCGTTTTTGTCACAGTGCGAGAAACATACATGTATTCATGCAGATTCCTCATTATTTAACTTCTTTAGATATAATCCAGAGAGATAATATTTGGTAACAACAATTTGCAAGGAGACACGGACATTTATAGTAAAACAGCGCAAAATGCCGCTTCGAAACTAACAGCCTTTCTAGGCTACCGCCGCTTTGGGCTAATAAATTAAATTAACAGTAAATAAAAAAATCTTATGCAGAACTAAAAATAAATAAAAAATAATCACTATAAAATACAAGCAAAATTCATGATTATGGTTAAATACAATTTTAATATTAGAATTAAATGTATAAAAATGTTTAAGGAGTCAAAAGTGTTTATCACTAGATGTATTATGAAATATAATCGAAACAAAATTCCTTTATAGAAATTGTGTTATAATACTCATCTATAATTTTAAAAAGGCAGCATAATTTAGAATTTTAAACAAAACTTTCAAAATTTCATTTTTAAATATTTTATTTTTTTTTTTACTACTTACCAATAAAAAGCATAAAATTTGCTTGTTTGAAATTTTCTATTAGTTCAGATTTAAAATATTATTTTCTAAAACAAGTAGTTACAAATTTCCTTACAGCATAGGAAAAGCTAAAAAAATATCCAGCCCTGAAAGCATGTAATAGCTTTATAATTATTTGGAACGTTAATTATGCTTGATAAATATGCTAAATTTTTAAAAATCAATCTCAATTTCAAAAATAAAAATATGTAGAAATTCTAATTTGTGAAATGAAGCGCTACAACCAGCTTTTTCTTGAACAATTATACACGCTGCATTAGGCAACCACTGTTAAATTTTTGCAAGTCGTCCGTACTCCTCCGGATGTGATCAAGGTGACAGCCGGGAACGCCTCAGACGAGGGAGAAAATCCATTTGGATTAGTCTATTTCTTATAAGGTCCATGTTTGGAACAAGTTCCAGCAAGCTTACTTCGCCCTGTGCCATAAAACACATCAGGACATTTTAGGCTATTGGTCTGATGAAGTGGCGTATTATCGCGCATAACATCCACTGCAGCTAACCTCTCATTTTTTTATATTCTTTTATGCAATTTTTTTAAAAAAATGTTGATTTGTCACAAATTTTGTACAATTTCAGAAGAATAAAATAATAAATTGGTAATCTAGCAGTAGATTTTGAGCTTTGCTACTGATTTATTACTAATCTGAGTGAAAAATCTGTGGCAATTGCGTCAACTAAGAATTTTACTGTCTTTTTTGTGGAAATTTCGTTATAACTGAAAATCTCATTTGATTGTTAAAACTAATTTACATCCACTTGTTGAAGATTAAATTTAAAATCCTCGCCTAAGAAGATCTTTTTTAAGATATAATCACAGTAACGATATCATTTTATAAGAATAGTCAACTGCCGATTGACTGGGATAATTATTGATAGTTATAGGAACGATGGTCACGAAATAAAAGCACGGTTGATCCAAGCAATTATTCGGAATAATTATGGATTATTCGGATTAATTCCCGATTATTCGGAATAATTATGGAGACGACTACCACGGTAAATCAAAATCACGGTTGAATCGAGGCAACTGCCGATTAACTGGGATAATTATGTATAATTGTGGCAACGACCACCATGGTTGATCTGAAGCGACTCTTGATTAACCGAAATAGCTATAGAGTCGGCAATCACGTTAAATCAAAATCACGGTTAATTCGAAACAACTGGGATAATTATGGGGACGACCATGGTAAACCAAAATCATGTTTAAACTCTGACAACTGCTAGTTAACGAGGATAACTGCAGGTAATTATGGAACGACAATCACAGTCAATCAAAATCATGGTTAATTTGAGGGAGCTTCCGAGTCATCGGAATAAATACGGGGACGATGACTGCGATAAATTAAAGTCACTTTTACTCCAAGGCAACCACCGATTAGCTGGAACAGTTATGGGAACGACAGCCACTATAAATCAAAATCACGGTTAACTCTAGGTAACTGCCGATTGTTTGGGATAATTAAATACGGGATAATAAATACGGGGACGATGACTACGGTAATCCGAAATTACTTTACTCCACGGCAACCGCCGATTAAAAAGGCAATTATGGGAACGACAGCCACTGTAAATCAAAATCGCGGTCAACCCGAGGCAACTGCCGACTGACTTGGATAATTATGGGAATGACGACCACGATAAGTCAAAATCACGGTTAAACAAAAGGCAATTGGAAAAGAGAAAGAAGAAAGTAATCTGTATTATAATTAAGGGGAAAATACTATTCATAATTGACTTCTATTTTCAAGCATTTGAATGTGAAAAATAAATTCAGTGAGTTAGGTAGAGCCCTTGTTCAAAATAATAAGAACGCACAGCTAATAACGGTAGACTGACATCATTAGAAATGAAGAACGTTAAGTTAAAAAATGTCTGTGACCTGTAGCTATCTCACGAACTTTTCTTTCTCTTTTCGGATATTCGGTAAACAATTTTGCTTCATTCTGATGTTTTGCGGTAGCAATTTTTCCAATATTCCTCAATCAACGAACTTAACATTTTTTAAACGGAATTTAGTTGATTTGCAACCCGGTTAATAGGGAGTTGAGTGCATTTAAGAGCAATACGAAACCAAGTTTTTTGCTACGGATAAAATGTAACATGTTCTGGAAATACAAACCAATTCCCTTACCTCTTCTGTAATCTGCTCGCCTGAAACGTTCAGTCCTTGTTGATCCGATTTTTCATTCATATTTACAACCAGACAGTGTTCTAATAAAACTCCGAATATAAGGCAAACACAGACCCCCATCCAGACGTCCAGAGCTGTCGTATAGGATATTTCGGGAATGAGGTCATTGGCCGAGGTATTCACTACGAAGAAACATATAAGGCTGCCCATCCAGATACCAAAACGTGCTGTTGTCATGTGTGAACGTAACCAAAATGTGACGAATGACAGCAAGACGAGAGCAGCCGTCGGCAGATATAGACGTACTAGATAGTAGTTGAAATTTCGGGAAAACAGCATGTCAAATTTCAAGCAACTGTACTCCCCTGTAACAAATGAAAGAGAAGAAAAATTACCACACCAAATTGTGATTCAAATGGGACAGACGATATTAATGTCAAATTACTGAAGGCACAAGATATTTCAAGCATTTTGCTTAGCATATTAAAATTTCGGCAATGTCCTTCAGAATTAAGACATTTATTGAATTTACTTTTAATTAACCTTTTACTTGAGTAGATGCCTGCCCGGCCAGCTGCCTAAAATAGTTCTTGTAGAAACATCTGACGTACTCAGCTCAAGAGCACGAAATTCCTCATGGCAAGGAGCGCTCAGCCTTGAGCACCTAACAGGTGAGAGTGCGATTTAGCTCTGTTCCGCCTTCGATTTTGATGGAGAGCAACCCCGGGGGGGGGAGACGCGTAATGCCAAACTGCACGTTCAGTTGATCAATGTTAAACGAATTTCGCATACTGCGCATGCTCAGAAGAGAATTTGGCGTAATTACCACTTTTGTACAATTTTGAAAGAAGATAAATACGGTGTGTGTTTGATATTCTGTTCTTTATTGAGTATACTTGTGAGGAATAAAAGCAACTGCGTATGGTAAATAACTATATGTTCCATTCGTATATACTTTAACAAATTAAAGAATTAATCCAGTTTAAATTACTGAATTAAAGTCCAGGAAATTATTATAAATAACTGATATTAAATATTGTTACGAATTTGGTATTTAAAAAGCTAATGTTAGTTCAATTATAAATTAAATGGTTTTATTTCTCGCGCAGTGCAGCGCGTGACGAATATTAAAAGAAAGCTAAGCCGGAAAATTGAAAATACAAAAATAGCGCTTTTTGATTCGAAAAATAAATTTAAATATCTTTAATATCTCTTTTTGAGAGAAATACTGGAAAAGAGAAATTGACTAAGAAAGCACGTGATTTATATTAAGGAGGAAAACATCTCAGTTGTAGCAGTTGCTTAGTTTGTTGTTGTTTAGAAAACAGCTGTTGTTGGTTATAGCGAATTCGCGGATTAGCGTTCTTTAGCTGTTTTGAATTACGTTCTATTGTACATTTGAGTAGTTAAAAGATAACTACTGTGAGATATTGTAATACTGCGTGATAATTTGAAAAGATTTAAGCATTTTTGTTGTGATAATAATAAATTTTTGTTCATTTTTCATCGGACTTGTGCATTCATTTCGTAACGAATCCGTACGCACGCAACAATATTATAACGTTTATGAACAAATTAACCAAAATGAAATGAAGCAGAAGCAAATGCATTAAGCACAAATAAATTTCGGTAGTATTATAATTGTAAATAGTTGATGAGACCTACATGATGAACAGGCTTCTGTAATGGCTGCTTATGCTTAGTCGCCAGTATTTCCTGTTACGCCAACGCTACACCCACTGAGCATGCGCTGGAAACGAAATTCTTTAACACTGATCAACTCAATGTGCGGTTTGCCATTACGCCTACCGTTCTACTGGGCCGATTGACGAAATTCAACTTGCATTTTTCATGTCTCGAAAGCGCAATCTAGGATATGTATTAGATTTATATATATCATTGTTCTAATATAGGTATTATGACACAAAATCGGACTTCTTCTGAAATGACATGCCAATTTTTTTTCCATATTTCGATTCTACGACTCATTATGCCAAACTGCCAAGTTTTGTAAAAATCGCACGAGTAGTTTTTAAAAAATTAGCTCTTAAAATTTTAGCTGCTCCATGCTGGTTGAATTTGGTATATATTTATTTATCTCTCTTTCTTTATTAAACATATTTGATTCTTCCTTTCACATTTCGAAATTTAGGCTCATTACAAATAAAATTCGCGCATTTTTTATGATTTATTTTTAAAATAAGTCATAAAAAAATGGGCGAATCTTTACAAATCTTCTAAAGGTGCTCAGTATATATTAATGTAAATATCTCCTTCATATTTGTAAGTTAGGCAATGCTTTATTACTAATTTCATTTCCGTTATATTTTTTAGTAATATTTTCATTTCCATTACATTTTATGTACTATAGTATTTGTTCTTCACTTTTATTTTCTGCACAGTCTTTAATGAAGCGTTCACACGAGAGCTTTGCGGTAACTAGAGACGTAAGCTAAACTTTATTGCTAAACTACCAGACTATGCTACGTTACGAGTGGTGTAAGGATTTTGTCTTGTGATAAGGTCACATAAAAGAAGAAGAGACTGAAGATTAATATGGAAGGATGTCTCGTGAGAATAAGCTGAAAAAACACGTTTTCAATAGTTGTTAAAATAGTCTTTATTAAAATAATTAAATCGTTGGCAATGTAAAAACGCAAGCTCGAGAGCCACGAATTGCTCTCGCACGTAAAATGTATAGAATTTGATTTTTGAAATAGATAGGTTTTTCTCTGCAGAATTGTATGTAGCCATTTTTTTTAGCATTCAATAAATTTTATTATGTTGTGTTTTGTTTTCAACCTGATGTCACAACCTAGGGTTTGTATAGCGGTTTCGGCCACTACACCACAGCAGTAAATATTAAAAGTTGGTGGCAGCGGTGGGATTGTTCCTGAGAGTAAATTTAAGAACGGACTTTTTCGCCTGTGAACTTGAGTTTTATGTAAACAGTCAAGACTTTCTTCTCTTCAAGAACGATCTAATTTTGCGTGCAAGGACAGTTCGCGTGGTGAAGCCTCTTCAGTGACAAGTGACAGTGTGTCAGAAGGGAACGCCGGATGAAGCGTGATCTAGTGCCGCAAAATAGTGAAATTTCCCGGAAGAATATCCAAGTAGTGCCAGGAGAGTCAATCGAAGGCGTCTTCAAAATTGGTGAGTACCATTTTTGTGATTTTGGAGAGGTTATGCCAGTTATTCGAGACTAGACTTATTTTGGATATAGAGCAGGAAAAGGTTGCCTCTTAATTAGCATTTTTTCAATATACGCTTTGTTTGTAGGCATAGGTGTTATCATTAAGTGTTATAAGGCAATTTGTGTTCAGAATTGTTAGGGAATTATTCAGTTTTGGAGAGATAGACCTGTTGTTGTTTTTGGTGTTATTGTTTTTCGGGCTAGGTTATTTTTCTTTAATTTCCATAATGGGTGAGTTTATGAGGAAATTTACTAAAGCTCTGCTATTGGAGTTAGCGGAGGAGTTTGAAACAAATGTGTCTCAGGCAAATAGAGTAAGAGAAATTAGGCAGGCTATTCTAAATGCAAGAATTTGGGCTGCGACTGAGCAGAGAAAAGCAGAAGAAATAGCGAACAAGAGAGAGCAGAACGGGAACGGGAGCGGGAGCGAGTTTATGAATTGGAAAGGTTAAAACTGATGAATGTGGTTCAGACTAATAGCCTAGCTTCCACGGTTTCGAAAGTTGAACAATCTAGAGAAAAAAAGGTTAATTTGAAAGATCTAGTACCGCGTTTTGAACCGAGTAATATAGATATTTCATTATTTTTATGCTATTTGAGAAACAAGCTCAAAAAGAGAACGTTAATGAGATTGATTGGGTCTCGCAATTAATTCCTTTATTACCTTACGATGTAGCCCAGTTAATAGTGAAAGAACCAGCCGATAAAGGGGATGATTATCAGCATGTTAAGAAATTACTCATGTAGAGATTCAAGCTTAGTTCTTGGGCACTAAAAACAAAATTTGAAGAACATTCTAGAAAAAGAAAAAACGAATGTTATGGGTGGATTTAGTGTATGAATTGAGAGTGTATTTAGAGAATTGGTTGGATTCAGTAGAAGTAGAAGTTCAAGATTTTGAAAGTCTTAAGGAACTTATGCTCACCTGAGCAAATTAAGCGGCGAGTCCCTCTAGAAATAAGAGAGCACTACTTAGACAATTGGGAAGAATTAAAAAACAGCTTCCATTTTAGCAGAGAAATGCGACAAGTATGAGGCTTTGCGAAGAGAAGAGATATGAGGAAGTTAGAACAGAGAGCGGAGTTAAAGAAACCATTTGAGAAAGACAGAGAGCGGTATATAAATTCTAACTGTAGTTATAATCAGAAAAGTAGTGGTCATCAAAGAATTAAATCAGAGGAGCATATAAAAGTGGAGGCTCCTAAAAAAAAGCAAGTTTTCAATGAAGCAGGTTTCGAGAAACAGCGGAAAATAAGGTATTACCAATGTGGAAAGGACGGACATATCCGACCTAACTGTCCATCGCTGGAAAAGAATAAGGCTAATCTGGTGAATAATATAGGAACGGAGAGTTTAGGAAAATGTTTTGAGCCGTATTTCAAGAAAGCAGTAATTAATGGGATAGAGAGAGAATATCTGAGAGATACTGGAGCTGGTATAGATCTGTGTAATAGTACTTGGATTAATACTAATGACTTATTAGGGGAAACTGTATGGGTGAAACAGCCTTTGGACACAGAATGTAAATGTTTACCTTTGGCGAAAGTCACCATTGAAAGTGATTTTGGTGTGGTCACCACAAAGGCTGCGGTTACTCCGGTAGAGTTAGATAAAGAGTACTATTTGTTAGGGAATAAAACTGCACAGTTAATTGAGGAAATTAGGGAACGACCGGTTCTCTTGAATGCTGTGGAGACTCGTAGTCAGGCGCATGCGCGCAGGAGTTTAGAGAGAGCGAGTGCAAAGGACTTAGAATCCAGATCGGAAGAAAAGAAAGAGATAGAAAATGAAAGGGCCGTCAATAATGAGCATTCGGAAGAAAGGAATTTAACCAGTAATACGGAGGAGACAATTAAAATTGCAGACATCAGTTTAGAAGAAAGGTCTATCCTTGCTGATGTTTCGCCAGCAGAATTCTTGGAAGCACAAAAAACTTGCGCTAGTTTAGCGACCCTGTGGAAGAAAGGGGAAAGTGAAAATGAAAAAGAGTTTATAATAGTCAAGGAAAGACTATTCAGAGTGGCAGATTCTAAAAAAGGGGAAGATAAGCGTCAGCTGTGTGTGCCTCTCGTTTTTAGGAAAGGGATCTTGAAGTTATGCCACGAGGAAATCTCTGGTCATTTAGGTGTAACAAAAACCAAGGATAGAGTTTTGACACACTATTTCTGGCCTAATTGCTACCAGGAAATTGAAGAATTTGTGAGGACGTGCGATATTTGTCAGCGTGTAGGTCATAATAAGGATAAAAAGAAAGCCCCTATGAAGATTGTGCCTGTTATATCAGAAGTGTTTAGCAGATTAAATATTGATGCAGTAGGACCTCTGATCCCTAGTTCGCGTGAAAATAAATACTTAATTACGTCTATTTGTGTTGCTTCCAAATATCCAGATGCCATTCCTGTACAGAATTTAAACTCTAAATGTGTGATTCAAGCCTTGATCCAAATCTTTTCTAGATCAGGTTACCCTAAGGAAATTGAGTGTGATTTGGGGAGATCGTTTACCAGTGAACTTACATCTGAGTTTTTTAGCAAGTTCGGAATTAAGGTGTATCATTCTTCTGTGTGTCACCCTCAAAGCAATTCCGTTGAAAGGTTGCATTCCACCTTGAAAAGGGTATTTGAAGGCTTTGTGCTTGGAAAGCGGGAAGGACTGGGAAGAATGTTTGCCATGTGCTTTTTTCGCCCTCAGAACTGTTAGCCATGAGAGCACAGGTTTTAGTCCCTGCGAGTTAGTACATGGAAAAAATTTGAGAATGCCTCAAACGATTGTGTATGAAAACTGGCTAGAGGAAGAAAGTTCAGACCCCCACTGGGTCGAGTATGTTCTAGACTTAATAAACAGATTAAAGAAGTGTCAGGAGCTGGCTGTAGAGAGAATGAAAGAGTGTCAGAGTAAAAGGAAACTCTGGTATGATCGCAACGCTGTTAAGAGAAGGTTTAAGGTCGGAGACCTCGTGCTTGTTTTAGCCACGTCTAAACCACACAAAATGGCTCTGAACTGGATAGAGCCAGGTAAAGTAACTAGTGTGATTTCCGAAACCAATTATACGGTAGAGATTCCAGGTAAGCGTAGCAGTGACACCATTTATCACGTAAATTTGATAAAACCTTATTATCAGTGCCCCGAGTTTGGGAATCTTGTGATGGAGGAGGTCATGGAAGATATTGAGGGAGAAGTGGACATTCCTTATCCCTTGGCTGATCCAAGTCAGGTAGATTTTTGGAAAATAGTTGGAGATAGTAAGCTAGAAGAAAGAGCTTCGGCAGAGGAAATAGGAAAATTCCAAGAAGTTATAAGGAAGTATGGAGCGGTGTTTTCGTCCGACCCCTGCTGTACGTTTTTGGTCAAAATGGATATTAAATTGTAGGATGAGACTCCGGTTAGAGTCAGGCCTTACCGAATGTCGGCGAGACAAACCGACATCCTAAAAGAGGAAATTAGGCGGTTGCTTGAGTTAGGAGTCATAGAAGTCGGGCAATCTGATTATGCTTCGCCTATGATCTTAGTAGAGGTCCCAGGTAAAGATCCTCGTCCTTGTATAGACTACAGAAAATTAAATTCAAAAACTATGACAGAATTTTTCCCTCTTCCCAATATTGAAGAAGTGGTAGAAAAAGTCAGCGCAGCTCCATTTATCACAATCATGGATCTAACCAAAAGATACTTCCAGATACCACTCACAGAGCGCGCACGGAGGTATGCCGCATTTGTGATGCCTTTTGGATCTTTCATCTCGAAGAAAATAATTTTTGGGCTTTTAAATGCGCCTTTCTATTTTTGTAAATTGATCGCTCAAGTTTTAGGAGGGCTGGACAATTTTGTTCTACCGTATATTGAAGACATCGCAGTCTTTTCGCCGACTTGGGACAGGCATATGAAGGATTTGGATGTGGTTTTAGGTTGCCTTCAGGAGGCTAAATTGACTGTTAAGCCCTCGAAATGCAAATTCGCACAAGACCATGTGAAATTTCTGGGTCATGAAGTAGGGTCTGGGAAAAGGTCGCCTAGTGAGGCCAAGATTCAAGCAATCAGAGATTTTCCGATCCCCACTACTAAAACACAGATACGTAGCTACCTTGGTACTGTGGCTACTATGCAAGGTACATAAAAGACTACGCCAGTATTGCGGCACCTTTGACAGACGCTTTGAAGGGGAAAAACAAAAAAGAAAAGTGATTGATTTGGACAAAAGAGTGCGACGAGGCTTTCAATAAACTGAAGACCAAACTAGTAAAAAGTCCGGTTTTATTTGCACCAGATTATTCTAAAGAATTTATTGTGCAGACAGATGCCAGCTTATATGGTGCAGGTATTGTGTTGTCTCAAAATTCAGGATGGGGAGGAACACCCTATACTGTATCTTAGCAAAACGTTTACTAAAGCGGAGCGAAATTATAGCACCATTGAAAGAGAACTAGTGGCCATTATTTATGGACTGAAGAAACGAAGTCATTACTTAGATGGACAGAAATTCAAGATACAGACGGATCATAATCCGTTGACTTTTTTAAACAAAATGATGGGATCAAATTCTCGTTTGACTCGCTGGGCATTGTGTCTCCAACAGTACAACTTTGAAATTGTTCATAGGCCAGGAAAATTACACGGTAATGCAGATGGCTTGAGTCGTGGCCTAGTCCAGTGACTAAATATCACTAGTAGATACAAAGTAAGGTAAAAAGTAATGAAAATGGGTGAAAATGATTTTTGTAGAGTTTTGGAATTATATTTGTGTAGATTCAAAATTGTTTGCATTGTGTGTTTCATTTTCAAAAAAATTGTTAGAATTAAATGTTTTATTTTACGTATTAGCATTGTGTAAAATTTGAGGAATATGCTTTGTATAAGGCACACATTAGGAGTAGTTTAAATTATTTTTGTTGTATTTGTGCGGTTATGTTATCTAAAAAATAAGTGCAGGGTAATGTAACTGGCTTCTCTATTATCACTTAAATGGTTACCACTTGTGTTTTGAAAGCAGTGAAATGTATTTAGAATTTTTTCTTCCATAGTCAAGAAAAATTTCTTTATGAGGGGCGGAGTTGTGATAAGGTCACATAAAAGAAGAAGAGACTGAAGATTAATATGGACAAGGATGTCTCGTGAGAATAAGCTGAAAAAACACGTTTTCAATAGTTGTTAAAATAGTCTTTATTAAAATAATTAAATCGTTGGCAATGTTAAAAACGCAAGCTCGAGAGCCACGAATTGCTCTCGCACGTAAAATGTATAGAATTTGATTTTTGAAATATATAGGTTTTTCTCTGCAGAATTGTATGTAGCCATTTTTTCAGCATTGAATAAATTTTATTATGTTTTGTTTTGTTTTCAACCTGATGTCACAACCCAGGGTTTGCATAGCGGTTTCGGCCACTACACCACAGTCTAAACTATTCACCTTTATTACTTAAGGTAAAATAACACGCCGAACAAATATTTATTTAGAAGTCAAACACCAAAACTGTGAAATTTGCAAATATAACGCTGATTTTTGTTGTTTGAGTTCTAAATTAGTATTCAACTTTATACCAACGGGGTATAAAAACCAACTAATCGAAGTAAAGGAAACAGCAACTGACGTTCGGTCGACGATATCGCCGAGTCAGCTGCACACACACACAGTCATGTGCAGCTTTATATTTCCTGATAGACTGCGATTTAAACCTTGTTCTACAGATATAAACGGACTTATAGACAAGAAGTCTATGACCACTAGACCACCGAGTGAAAACTCCATACGAGAAGAAAAAAGATAATTTAAAGTAATTTCTAACCTGTATTAGTTCTAGACTTGCAATGGTCAGTAAAAAAGGAATTCAGTGTAAATTTTGACATATGCAGATTTTTCGTCACTTGCACAGGGTCATCACGTTTCCACAAGAATACCAAATCGTCAGTTGTGTAACCATCTGAAATTAAAGCATATTCTATTATAAAGCTCGATTAGTGGGCCACAAAAAGAGAAGCAATGTAATAAGATTTCAACTCACAACTTGCGAATATTATTGTGCGCACCTGGTTGTCAAACGGGAAATTCTCTAAGTTACACGGAGAAAACAGCTTCAAAGATATCCTGCAATATGAAATTATATATTTCTAGTGGAAGAGTAAATATATAATATTAGAGAAATCCAAAAAATTTTGTAAAACCACCTACTATTAATATGTAGGTGTTTTCTACACATTTATATACAATACATACAGGTAATATATTAATACAAATAACTCATAGAAGCACAAATATTAAAAATATCACAGCGGCAAGAATCAGTATAAGTTGCAACAATTTGAAGGACTATAGTTTCAAAGGTTCAATAGAACATCTTTCTTCAGTTGCAGGAGTGAAAATGACAAAAGGGTGTGCATTTAATTATGACAAAGCACACTAGGGCTATCTGCCTAAGGGGAGGGATGCCTTCGTGAAGGACTTTCTAAGGGAAAATGGCTCGCATACACGTTACACATGCGGAAAACCACGAAAACACACATGCAGCCAGCCCGTTCGCCGATTCGAACCTCGGACCGAACTACCAGTGTTCAGCGACTTTACCGCTCGGCCGCTGGTGGGCCAAATGATAAAAGGGAACCATGTGCTTATAGGGTTCTAATTATGTATGTTTAAATCAATCGGTGCTTCAGAGCACTTGGTAGAGATAAATGTGACATCCTGTGTGAATTAAGAATTAATACACTACATTAGTTCCTTAGTTATCCAAATACGGAGTGTATTAATCCGGCATACAATACCGGAATTAATGCACTCCACCACTTGCGGGCGTTTAAAATAATATAAGTTGAAACTGAAATTCAAGTATCGTACTCAGAGATTGCATAAAAGGGTCTACCTATGTTGGCTCAAGTATTTTAAATGGCGTCAGCTAGCAAAATGGCTAAAAATGAAATATGTGGGGAGCTGGCTATAGGGATGTAAAGTCTGAAGCTCTAACTCTAAAACATTTAAAACCGCGAACTTAAATATTCAGACAACTAATTTATATTCTGGTGAGGACTACTGAAAGGAGCAGTACAGTAAAGGGTTTAAATCATAATAATTGTTTAATTAAAATAAAAACCTTACATGCTTACGCGGTAGTAATAGACAAAAAATTTCAATAAAGTTCCAGATAAAGAAAAGAGAAAATACCATTGGGCCATCTCTTGACAAAAAGTGAAAACAATTATAAACTTTTTTTTAGTTAAAGATGGTTAAGAGTTGGAATCATTAACTAAAAATAAAAGACTTTTATTAATGTGAAATGCTTCTAAAAATCTAATTGGCTAATGGAAGATAGTTTTGAACAATTCTAGCAATAGAAAAAAGAAAATGTAATTTTTCAACTAGTAGTCTTAAACAATAGAGGATTTATGTGTTTCTGTTTTTCTAACATAGGTCTAATATTCGACAGACGAGCAAACCCTTTTTCAACAGATGAGAGAGAGAGAGAGAAAGTAAAGCAACAAGAGTGAAATGCTAAGACTAAAAAATTGTTAGATGGCATATCATCTTCGGTAGATGACAATGGCTACAAGCTAGATGCGCGTGGCTGTCTGGGCAGTCTGAAAGGCATTTGTCCGGAAAACAGTTCTCAAAAAGCTTTCAAAGGCTCAGTACCTGAAAGACAGGCAAAAAAAAAGTTTAAACAAATCTAAAATGTTGAAGGTTATATGCAAGGAGAAATCGAGGTTAAAACTCAAGCTAATGCTCCATAATTTAAATAAGTTCATAAGAAGTAGATGACGCCCCAGAATAGCAAAGACAGTGGATCACCTTTCATTAGTATTCCCTATTTGAAATATACTAGCCCTGCTGCTATAGCGACACCGCCACCCGCCAGACACAATGGCGGGGCTGTTCTTCTGGTAGACAGGCAGTATTTTCCAAAGAACGTCTATACGTTCAATACATATTCTTTGGAATTTTCTTACCAAAGAACGCAGTGGCATGAACGCTGGGAATTAGCTGCGACAGGCAGGCGTATCCAACGGCTGATGCCAAAGGTTAGGACAAAATTGAAAACTGAGAAAGCAACTCTTATTCAATTTGTAACAGGCAATGGCCCTTTTCTATCCTATTCAAGGCGATTTGGGTATAGTGGCATGCATATCTGTGACTGTGGAGGGCTTAGCAACTTCGATCATGAACTTCCCTTTACTCGGAACCATCATCTCAAATTACCGGCTTCTGAATACTGGATGGCTTGCAAAGAGAATACGCTCTATAATAAAGTTGCACATATAGAATACAAAAAGCTATTAAAATTTAAATTAAGTGTCACTGGTTCCTTTCTTATACGATCCACCTTCAATAACCCAAACTCTTATTATTGTCTCTTATGCTTGCCTCTAAAGCTGTTATTGCAGTCTAATACCTATCTTAACGTGAAAAACAACTTCAATGATTGTTAAAGTCGTTATAATGACATACTGATAGATCTACTATATTAGTACTGCCAATCATTATTGTTTCATATTGTAATAGATGTTTTGGTTTGTATTGACACTTGCAATTCAATTTTACTAAACACAACTATTAAATCAGTCCCAATTGTAGCTTTGTTTGCTTAATTTCCCATACAGATTAGTAACTGGTATTGTTCATCACTGATTTTTAATTCAATGTTAAAAAAATTTGAGAAATGTCTTACACATCTTCTGCTCTCTCTCGCACAACTTCTGCTGATTCTATAGCAGTTGCAGTAACCAACGACGCTGACTCAAGAACAGTTCGGTATCTTCAATTGATAGATTTTTTTTTTATCAAAACCAAGTATCTTTGTGGAATTCATAAAACTACACAAAAAGACTTTTTAGATTAGCGAAAACATTAGCAGCATTTTGTCAGCCCTTGATCAGGAAAGTATAATATTATCTCAGAATAGTACAATCTTGGAACTGCGACTTTTCACTTGGAGAGAAAGGAATTTTTATGTCCTGTGCAAGCAGCTCAGACTTCAGTTGTCTCACACGAGATTCCACAAATTCAGATGATAACGAACCTCCTTTTACCCTAGTGACGCGTAAAAAGAAACAAAGCATTTTTTCAAATAGAAATCTTTCTGATAGTGTTTTACTCATAACAGCTAATGATTCTTCTCGCGTTCACCTAATACAACTCAATCTCGGTTAGCATAGGAGCTCCAGGGTAAATGTTTAGCTTTGCCATTAGAAAAATACGCTTTACAAGACCTAATAGTTTGCTTCTTAGCTGTCGTAACAAAGAATATCTGGCAGCTCTTAAAACGGCAATTCAGGAAAAGGTTACTCTTCGAAAAGATTTATTGCTCAGAGAGCCTAAGGTGCACAACGACAACAAGTCATCTTTGGAGTTCGTTCACATATTCAAACACAGGATATAGTGCTTGCTGCTTGCATTGGACAACCTCGCAAAATCTTCAACGGTTTCCATATATCGAAAAGCTCCACAACCTCGCCAAGACGATAAAAATAACTGGATTGTAAAACTTGATTCTGCATACGCAGAGGTACACTGCTTAAAAAAAAAGGGGGGACAGTTCTATATCTCTCGTTCTACTGGGCCGATTGACAAAATTCAAATTGCGTTCTTCCTGTCTCGAAAGCGCAACTTAGGATATATATTAGATTTATATATATGGCACTATTCTAACATAGGTATTTTGACACAAAATCGGACTTTTCTGAAATAACATACCAATTTTTTTTTTCCTTTCCCGTGAGAGGAAAAAAGTCACCATCGTTCCTTTTTTCCAAATAATATTCTTTATATTATATTTTTAATTATAACTGTTATTATTTTAAGTAATTTTTTCTTTTTCGAATTTCATTTTAATTGTTTAAGTTGCATGGTTTTTTCGAATAACTGTTTTAAAAATTTCTATTTACCTATTCGAACTGCGTAAATAAAGGTGCAGCGTTTATTTTTTTTCAAATAGTTTTCTTTATATATATATATTTGTCATAGTTATTATTTTAGGTAATTTTTAAATTTTTATACTTTTATTTTAATTGTTTGTGTTGCATTGTCTCTTCAGATAATTGTTTTAAAATTTTCTATTTATTCCTTCGAACTGAGCATTTTAAATATATTTATTAATATAAATTTTCCAGAATTTGATTTCATTTATTTGAATTGCGTTTCTTTCGGAAGACCCAGAACGATGCGTTTGAAAACTGCATATATTAAAAGAGAAAATACAGTAAAGTACAGTTAACACGCTTTTCAATGTTCCGTTCAGAAAAGATATATATAAATAAGAGAGATGTATAACCGACATTTTAACTTAGGATGACTTGCATACACTGCTTTAAACAGTTTTATCATTGTGCCCATTGCTTTACACAATTTTATCCTACATTTGGTTTCTTAAAATGTTATTCATATTTTAGTCAAATATTTTATTTTTGAAATCCCAAGAATCAAATATCATAAGATTAAAAGGTTTTAAATTTAAAAAAAAAAAAAATACAAATACTAAATTTTACGCAAAAATTTATTTTTTCTTCTCATTTTCTTCAGGCATTCTACTTTATTCTTGCTCTTTTTCTTTAGGCATTCTGCAAGTATATTAAAAAGCAACCAACTTTTCGAAATATCTTGGTATTTCTGACAATCATTTTATTTAAATTGCCTTCCATTTCATAAAGGCTCACAAACGGCCGAGCGGTAAAGTCGCTGAACACTGGTAGTTCACTCCGTGGTGCGAATCCCAATAAACGGACTGGTTGCATGGGCGTTTTCGTGGATTTTCTCATGTGTACCGTGTATGCCAGCTGGTTTCCCTTATAAAGTTCTTCACGAAGTATTTGGCCAGAGCTTTTATCAGCCTTTAGAGGCTAAACATTTTGAAGGTATGAGATGAAAGGAAAGACTGGTTTCCTCAAGAGGTTTTGGTTTATTTAATTATGACAAAGCACACTAGAGCTATCTGCTTAAGGGGAGGGATGCCTTCGTGGAGGACTTTCTAAGGGAAACTGGCTCGCATACACGTTACACATGGGGAAAAGAACGAAAACGCCTATGCAGCCAGCCCGTTCGCGGGATTGGAACCTCGGAGCGAACTACCAGTATTCAGCGACTTTACCGCTCGGCCGTTG